AAGATAAAACCTTTACTTCACTGTCCAAAGCAGTGAAGGTCTTTTGGTGATGTCAAAAAACATTATCGCTAAGTATGTACTTACTTGATCGCATGTATCAGTTATAGTCTGCAATTGCATTTTTCATTTTTTATTTTGTTTTTTATCACAATCACCAACCTGTGATAATCGCACACCCATTCAGCAAATACGGAATTTTGTTCGTAAAATAATTCTTTTAAACATCTTATTTGGCTCACTTATTTCCCTAAATAACGTTGTTGGACCCCGAAATTGTTTATTAATTTTATTTTATTTATATATTTTTTTAAATGTTATTTTATTTACGATTTTTTAAAATAAAATCTGCTAAATATGTTTGTATAAAAATCCCTTATGTAAATACAAACAACACTTATTTCACAAATTAATTATTTTGTATTAAGTAAAGATATTCCCTTATATTATATATAAGAACAAATTTCTTATACTTATATACTCTGTTAAGTATTTTATTGAAATCATATACTTTTGCATAATTACCTAACTTTAAGGATGAAAATATAAGTAAATTATTACTAGATGTACATACTTCGTATATAATGATATGAAGATTATTAAATCACATAGAAATTCAAGTTTATACTTAATATCATGCATTTAGAACAATAATTCGTACTTACATCTCTCGAAGTATTGCCAAAGTCAGTTCTCAAAAGTAGACATGAAACCAGCAAAAATTAAAGAACTTAAACCAATCACTGTAATTAAAAACCGTCAACTATGTAGAGCTCACTCTTTGAGCGCAATCCATCGTTATTGCCAACAAAAATAATATTAAAAATATTAAAAAAATTTCCACTGTAAGCTGGCATACTACGGCGTTAAAAAAATGCCGATCTAGCAAATTGACAAGAAAAAAAAGTTGCTGTTAGAAATAACAGATATTTCAACTGAAATTTTAAATATATGTAATGAAGTCACAATTTTGATAACCTGCCACACTGATTACAGGATAGTTTTACCGCGCGAGGCATAGTACTGTACTTGGTCGGTTTTTTTTAGCCACTTTTTAAAGAAAGTTTTGGTGACAAATATTCTTTTTTACAGTGTAAGTATTGCTGTTAGAGTATATACCATGTCTATGTAATATTTTTTAAAAATGTATTAATTGATTACTTGTGAAAATGTAGAACTTTACCTAATAAACTAGCCTTAAAGATTATTGCAGTAGTATAGATTAACATTTTATGAAGGATTATTGCTGTAACTTTGCAATGAATTTAATATCTAAATTAATTACACCATAAGTATCCTCTATTGATAATTTTACAAGAAATATATGCTGCTTTGAACATTTTATCTCTCTATACAAAAACTACCTTCTAAAAGAATATTGAAGTTCACAATAGAGAATCTTTCAAACAGATTCTCAATTTAAACATAAAAGTAGAACAGACAATGTTTTTATCTTCCCATTATAAAAAGTTCATTTTTCTTAGATTTTATTTTACTTTTGTGTGATCTCTTGCAGTCTGTTGAATACATAGTGCTTATTCAGACATAATTTTCTACTCCTTTTCAGTTGATGAGTACAGCTTTATTCAAAGAAAGGGTTTTGAATGTTTTTTTTGCAATTACATCTATTAATTGTAATGCTTTATTTAACAGATTATAAATAAACAACTGATTGACTTATTGAGGTTAATAATTTACCATTTTTTGGTATTAAATATTTCTCCTCACTATCCACAGTTTCAGGGAGGCTCATTAAAAAATCTTATAAAATATTAAAATTCAATGATGGAACATTTGAAACATCAAGTTAATTTTCGATAGGAAGTCATTTCCAGATAACTTTTTCAAGATAAATATTCATCAATCTGTGTACATAAGAAATTCATTATTATTGCTTATTAATAACATTTTTTCTTTTTAGTTAGATATTTAATCATCTCTCATTCTTTTATCTTCATATACGAGCATCCGATGGATAAGAAGTAAAAGCTTGTAACTGTATTCACAAAAAAATAATCTTCCTGCAAGAAATAGTAACATTATTTATTGTTGTACCAGGTTACTCTGAAAACATAATTGTATTGTGGTATGATCTGTTTTCATGAAAATTGCAAAAAAATCTGAATAATTTTTATATTTTTAACACAGTTTGTTGTCCTTACTGTCAAGTGATAATTTTCCAGTGTCAAAGAATCACTTTAACCATTGATATATTTTTAATTATTAAATTATTTAAAAACTTACACACCGTTGTATTTGCTCTTTAATTTTCCCAGCATTTGTAATAAAAAAATTACAATTTTAGTTATTACTGTTGGCATTTTATATGAAACTGAATCTATTTAATAAATATATCCTAATAAAGCTACCAACGATTGTTATACCTATTCATTTGAACCAAATCAGATTGTCACATTATGAAAGCAGATTATAATTCTTCCAATTGGATATGTCTGTTAAATTAATACTTTATTTTATGATATAAACATATCTATATTCTATTCAATATAAAATCTTCAGTTCCAAAAGAGGATGTTTAAAAAAAATTTATTAGTATCAAAAGTATGCATGATTGATTTTTATATCCTTTCATAAAAAGTGCTCTTGGACACAATGCCTAATAAATATTTACTTTTGAGATTTTAATTTTATATTTTTTGACCTAGGTCTGAAGACTTATTTGATATACAAGCTTGGAGATTGAATTTCAGTTTCAAGACTTCTTTTGTAGAAGACTAAATCTGTCAACTGAAACAGGTATGTATTTAAAACACACTCAAACTCTAACTTACATAATTTCATTGAATAAGAATAAACAAAAAATGTTTTGAGATTTAAAGACAGTAAATTGAACTGTGAATTTTAATATTGAATTAATTAATGAATTGAATTAGTTAAGGAAAAATTATACTCAAATTCAGCATCTCTTTTAAAAGGTATTATTTGTTGGATTAGTTGTTTTGATTTAGGTGTAAATCATAAATATACCATGTAAGATAAAATTGAGGTGAATTAAATCAATACTTTATTTTATTTTCTTGTAAAGTAAATCTTTATGCAATTTATAAATGCATAGGCGCCGACTTCTGAAACTTATTGGGGGGGAGAGGCCGAACTATACGATCAAGGGATAGGAGTGATCTGTGAGGGTGGTGATATTCTTTGGGATATATCCTATTTGCCTATATGCAATATATAATATGTACCTAGTCCTTTCCTAAATATTGTTACAAGGAAATATATACAGATTCCAACAGAAAAATTAATTTTTTCAAAAACTTTATTAGAAAATAAAATGTATATCTATAGAAAGTAAAACAAAAACGAAATTACTCAAAATATCCCACTTTTGCCTTGACACAGGCATTTAATCTCCTTGGCCAGTCATCAATAGCAGCTCGCAGCACTTCTTGGGGAAAGAACTCAACTCCCCAGACCATAGATTGTTTGAAGCTTTCCAAGTTAGGGTGAGCTCTGTGGCATGCCATTCTCTCCAGTTCAGACCAAAGCCGATAATCTAGTGGGTTGAGATCAGGGCTTTCTGAAGGTCAATCCGAGGCAGAGATGAACTCTGGAATGTTCTTTTGCAACCAGTGCTAAGTTGACCTGGCCTTGTGAGCTGGAGCGGAATCCTGCTCGAAAACCCAATGACTTCCAGCAAACAGAGTATCATTTAGAGACGTGACAACAGGTTCTAAAATATCGTCCTGATAGTTTTTAGCAGCTGTTTTAACTCCTTTTTCAGAAAAATGGAGCTTTGTGGTGTCATCAAAGCAAACTTCCCACCAAACCTTCACTGAGGAAGGGTGATGACTTCTTTTGACTCTTCCAATGACTTCTTGGGCTTCTTTAGAGCTATGTGCGTACACACGATCATTTTGGCGATTAAATTTTTCTTCAATTGTAAAAATTTTCTCAACAAAATACAAAATCTTTTGATGAAGAACATTGGGGTAACGGCCAAAGAGCACTTTGCATCGATCCACTCTAATTTTTTTTAGGTAAGTGGCTTGACTTTGTCTTGTCATTCTTCAAAATGCCCCCATCCTAAGGTCACTTTTTATTATGCTAGGCAATGATCTGGCAGGGATTCTCATTTCCCGAGACTTAATTTGTTATTTTCAAATGGGATTTCTTCCGATTCGAGCAGCCATTGCTCTCACTGCATTTAACTTGTTCCCAAAGTGCAGGGATGGCCCTGTCGAGGTCTGTCAAATACAGATAGCGTCTCATTATATCTATTTATAGTGCGGTACCCAAACATGTGGCTGATACCCAAAGGTTTCAAAGTGTTGAAAATCTCTGACCTACATTTTCCAACTTTGTATAATTAGATCACAGCTATTCTGTTTTCTTTATCACCTTACTCCATGTTAGCTGAGCGAAAGAAAAACAAGCTAATTGGGATTATTATCCTGACATGTAAAGAAAATTACCTGATAGAGGTAAGGATTATTTAAATAATACCCAAGGATGTAAACAAAGTTCAACTTTATTTCTTTATTTATTTATGGCAGAACTAGGTATATGAAAAATTACCATATTAGGCATGTATTGAGTTGTTTTAAGCCCTTCCTGATGACAAAAAACTTTTGTCACACCAAATGCTTTAAACCAAAACAATTCAGTATTTTAATAAGTTGTTGCTTTTACAGTTTAGGTGGGTTTATAAATCCAAAATAGGACACACTTAACCAAATTCTACTATACCTGCTAGTAGATAGATATAGTCCTTTGTAATGGAATTGTAATGTACATGATCAATATATTTGTGAAGTTCATACTACAGCAATTTGTTGGGGGGGAGGAGGGGAGAGCTGAGCCCTCACCATGGCAGCATTAGGGGTGCTTAAGCCCCGTGAGCACCTTGTAGTCGGTGACTGTGCATAAATGATTTAATGAAAGGAGAAAATGTTTCTGATTTTTTTGTGTACTATTTTTAATTCTATTGTCATTGCCATTATTTTTCAGTGGAAGCTGGAAGGAATAGTATAGAAATCAGATCAAAACATAAATGTTTGTATAATGAAAATAAAAAGATCACAGCTATTTATTTACATTAACAGCATTTCGATATACAACAAATTATAATACATATACATATTTACAATTAACGATCAAATATTGGGCCTTAAAATATAACTATACATTTTTCTATTTACATTTTATAGGAAACTGTTCTTAGAATATAGTGAAGTACTCTTATAATTACTGTGAGAAAATAAATATATTCTTGAATTGTTCTTAAATCACATCATACTCATGGTAGTATTTTTTAGATCACAAATTCATTTCATATATTGATATAGAGTTTTTTTGTTGTACTTCTTTTGATTATGAATCATATATTATTTGTACAATACATGAAACTAACACAAGCTAATTCTCAATTGTTTTATATGAATAGGTAATTTATTCAGTTCAACTTTTGTAGAAATCTGTTGACAATGTTGTGATTTTCTTTGATGTATCTTGTGAGTTGAGCGACACTACCATATGTGTCAGCCCTTGAAGCCTGGCACATCCTAAGTTGTACATCGTCCAATTTAGGATCACATTCAACAATGTGAAATACATGAACTAAATCAGGATCTACAGATCGAAAAATACTTATATTCTTCGATGCTGTAATAAATTTTTCAAAGAGATCAACATCTTCTTTTCCCCAACCTTTAATCGTTGTATCAAAGCTTCCTACCTGTTAACAAAAAAAATTACATTAGAGGTATTTTTGATATTTAAATTTGATACATGACTTTCAGCACATTTGTTCTAGGAGTCCATTGTAGATAAGCATGGGTTAAAGTTAATCTTAAATGTTATGTAAAGAAGGGCAATCATTCTAATTGGCTTTCTTTCTTATGGGAGGTGAACCATTCGATATATATTATATAATATAAATACACAGATTATAGTGAATTTTTAATATAATTGTCATTTTAAATTATTATTGAAAATAATGTTATTGGTTCTTTAATAATTGAAGTTAATTGAAAATAATGCTATTTGAATTTAAAACGAGGTGTCTTTTTTTCCTTTTCAAATCAATCTACATACCATTTGAAGCAATAGGAGCGTTAATATTACAAGAGAATATACTAATCCACTTTGGTTTTAGCTTCATTGATCATGAAGTCGAATCATCGAATTCTTTACGAGTTTGCTTAATTTATTGACAAAACATTATAGAAGTGCTAAACATTATCCAAGATATAAATAATACAAAATGCAATTGAAAAATTTCTTATAATGAAATCTAAGATTTTTACCAGAAATGTTAGTGATAAATCTAAGATAAACATAAAGCATGAAAATAAAGTGATCATCTTATGGATGGAATATGGATTTCTTTTAATAGTTATTTTATCTGTTTATTTCTTGAATTTGGTCAATCAGATGTTCAATATAACCTACCTTAGTTGTTATTAATTCAACATTCTCTTTCCTTCGGTATGTATTTATATGGCTTCTTAGTATTTATATGGCTAATTTTTATATAGCACTGATAGATATTGTTTTTTGCTTTATGATGTTACATGTATTTAGTTATTAATTATCTGCGATTCTTTTTTACTATTCTAGAATACACTCCTCACTATGTTAATTTCCAATCTACATCTTTGTAAAGGACTACAATTCCTTTTTATTTATTCAAATAACAGGATACATTCACATATAATACTATTATTTGAATAACAATAAAAATTGTCATCTATCATCATAACAAAAACATATTCAAATAATACCCAACTCTGGTCATATCCAATTAGTCAAAGTGGTCAATAAATAATAAATAGACAACAGTAAATTGATAACATACTATAGTCAAATACAAAAATTATTTGTATTGCATTATTCTTGCATATGTTCTAGGAGTCCATTGTAGATAAGCATGGGTTAAAGTTAATCTTAAATGTTATGCAAAGAAGGGCAATCATTCTAATTGGCTATCTTTCTTATGGGAGGTGAACCATTCGATATATATTATATAATATAATTACACGGATTATAGTGAATTTTTAATATAATTGTCATTTTAAATTATTATTGAAAATAATGCTATTGGTTCATACATCCTAAGGGAGATGTCTATTTATATAAGGTTTATGAATAAAGTTAAGCAACAGTTAACTCTTAAAAAAAAATGTTTTCTTTATTTTTATGACTTTTCAGGATCACTTTATTATCCCATCTTCAGACCGTATCTCATCTTTCTATTATCTAATTTCTTTAAAAAGAATTGTCATAATTTTTACTTTTTTTTATAAATCATCCCTTATTTATATTGTGGACTCCTCTAGGGAGAGTCTAATCAGACACTTATTAGATGATACAAAGATGAGAATACTGTATGAAGATGGGATAATAAAATGATCCCGAAACGTCATAAAAATTAAGAAAACATTTTTTTGGGAGAGTAAACTGTTACTCAAATTCATTTATAAACCTTATAATGCTATTGGTTGACTGTGATTATTTGACAGCCCAATAGAGCTTTTTCTTCAAGTTGGTGATGAGTTTCAACTTGGAGTCTGATGAGTTCACTCTCTGGCTGCCAACTAATCGAGATTGAACTACAGTTATTATTATGTTATTCTGTGAATGATATACTTACTATCCTGCTTAGAAGAAAGTACCTGAGGTCTTAAAAACCCAATCAACAAACGTTAATTTATAAATAAAATAGGTAGGAAATGGTCATATTTTCAAACTCCAAATTTTTTCATAAGAATAAAAAAACTATCGGAAGTAAAAAAAAATTTAAATTTATAATTACCTCAAGGAGATCAGTTTTGTAGACACTTCCAATTCCAAAACCATATTGCCTCCAGTATCCAGTTGTTTCGTCAATTAAAAAGTGATTGGGTGATATTGTTTGGTTGAAAACTGCTATCGGATCAAATTCACTATAAACTATGGGAAAATAAACTGATTTCTTTCTAATTGTGTTTCTTCGGATCCGTTGCAATGATCCTCTCCTGAATACCATGTCTACATCAATGAAAAACAGGAGATCATTTGGTTCTTCAATATGCGATGCTCCTATTTCTAAGGCACTCGCTCTAGCGAAATTTTCGAACTGTGGTAAAACATCTATTCTTGTGTATTTGTAGGTTTCTTGGTACATTTTAATTAAACTTAATGTTTTCGATACACTATCTTCTTTGTCGTTTGGGAAAAGTACAACTGTTAAAGATACCCTCTCTTCATTTTTTAAACATTCTTCTTCGAAAATTCCCATAAATCTTTTGAATATTTCAAATCTTCCTGAGAGTGGTAGGATAAAATTTATCATCTTTTCATTTCTTCTCAGTTCTTTTGAGTTTTCTGTCACTATTGGGAAAAGTATCGAAGGTATATTACCTCCCAACTTAATTAATCCATTCCCAAATACATCCTTAATTCCTGGAAGATTTCCAGGAGCTTCAATAGCATCTTCGGAAAGTTCGTTGTTGAGATTAACTTCATCAGTTTCCTGAACTTCACGAATCGAGATATCTGAAAAGAAAATATATGATTAATGGCTAAAATTATTTATTGTATGAGACAAAAGTTGATTTCTTAACTAAAAAACAAAACACTGAATATCTAGTGTATAAATGGACAATTTGGTTATAGTGGGAAGAAGCACAGATTCTATAGAGGAGGCATTTCTTGCCCTATGGGAAGGAGCGCAAAGAGCAGTTCTTACGGTGTATGAAGCAAAAACCAAATATGAGAACAGGTATGCAAGGATTGGATCTGCAGAATGCCTAAATAAAAATCAGAAGATTAACATTTAGGCATATGAATAGATTTATTTACTTAGGCAGTCAGGTGAACTGGGACAATAATATGATTCTTCCAATTTTTCCCGCTGATTCTTCCAAGCCCGTTCCCTTGGCCGTGGTTTCGCTAGATAGTAGGTAGGGACAGAGGGAATCTCGTTAATCCATTCAGCGAGAAGTAAATAGAAGATTAACCACTGCAAACAAGAGCTTTTTTTAGGTTCCTAAAATACTTCAGAAGTAAATCTCTTCTGCTGCACCAAAGTGCAACGTTATAAAACCTCCATAGGACTTTTTTGACCTATATCTCTGAATGCTGGATGATTTCTTGAAATCAAGAATTAACCCTCCTAAGATTTGAGAGATGGATCCTTAGAAGAATTGTTGGGATAGTTTTCAGCGATAATGCTTCAAGACAGAGAAGAAATGCTGAATAGGAAGACTCTTTAATAATATAAATGTCGTCGTATTTATAACAGTTGGAAGGTTTTGCTGGAGAGGGCAAGGTGCCAGAATGAAAAACAATGAGATTTCAAAGAAACTTCTGCAAAAAAAATCAATACAGCAAAAGGAGATTCGACAGGATGAGACTGGTGGGCCAATAGAATGGCGGAGGATGCATAGTCCATCATGAAAGTATGGAACTGGAAGGCAGTGGCAGTTCTACATGAATTGTAGTGCGCTGGAAGAAGGAAATGAATTAATAACCTAAAACTTTGTTGTTTAAAAAAACTTTCAATTTATTTATTTTTTTATTATCCAGAGTTACTAGTGAATCGTGGAAATCCAAAAAAATAAATGAAAAATAAAGAGTTCCTTTAGAAAAATTTTTCAAAATTTAAGCTTCAACAAAGAAATAAAAATTAATTTAAAAGAATTATTATTTTCTTTCATCTGTAAGTATATAAGTAATAAAATTACATTTAATAGCTCAGAGAAAAACAGGTTAGTCATATTTTTATTTAATGGAGTTATTAAATTTCATTCGCAATTCATTATCAATGAATTGGGAATGAAATGATACAATAAATTCAATAAAAAAGATATATTTGTTATCAGTAATTTTTGTTCTGAATTGGTTTGTACCAATAACACAATGAATAAAAAAAAAAATGAATATTTCTTTGAAGAGAACTCTAGCATTTTCACACTTCAATTAATTATGCTTTTACTAGATTATAAGAAAATTACCAGTAAATTGTTGTTGCAAATATGCATGACGGCGTACCGGTACTGTCATTTTTCGTCCTCTGTATTTTTTATAGAGAAGAAGTAAATCCAAAATGTAATCAGCTCCGTGGATTGGGTTGTACCTCACGTAACCATATAGTATTTCTTTGAAGTCTATAACTCTTCCTCTTTGTTTTGAAAACTTGTTGATTTTTTCCATTACCTTCAATAAATATAAATTTTTCATCATTAAAATGCTCACATAATTATTCTTTTACATCTAAATATTAATCATATTATCATCCACTTCAGAGCATTTTTACAACTTTCATTTATTTCTCTATTGTTATAGATTATTATATACTACATCATAAAAATAACACAAGCTCATGATCGCAAAAGACATATCAAATTTAGATATTTTTGTATGTTACTTTTACTTTCAATAAAGTTTATTGTTGAAATTAATATATCTTGTTTACTTTTGTTTTAGGTTCTACAATGAATGTAGTTCAATTCAAGGTAATCAAAATTTTAATTTCATAGCTATTAATAAAAAAAAAATCTGGTGCGCACACAATTTTCACTTACCGCTCAACTTTGAATAGAAATTATTTTCTGGCCATGTTGGACTATTATAAAATTTTTGAATTGCATTTTAACTGAGCTAAAGCTAAAAGATTACAGCTAACAAATCATAAACACAATTAAAATAACAAAAGTCCTATTTACTATATCACCTGTTGATTATGGATTGTATGATTCGTTGATTATGGATTGTACGATTCGTTGATTATGGATTGTACAATCCGTTGATTATGATTTGAACAACTATTAGTTATTACACTGTTATTTTCCATTGCAAAATTTCCTAAAACGAAATTAAGAGATTTGCATTGTCAGTCATAGAAAGGTCAAAAGTTGTCACACTATTTGTAACTGGATACTGTTGGAATATCTCAAAGAGAGAATTCATCAAATTATTAAATCAATTTCATTTTCTAAAAGGTTACATGATGATTTTCTGGAATAAACGGACAATAGATACCTAATTATTTAAATAGAATATCAGATCTAGAGTTATTAAACTGCAATAAATATATTTAAGGTTATAAACGTATTCTTGAAATATTTTTATATTTCACATCTTCTTTCACACAAGTACAATGAAATAGTATCTTAAACAATGTCACTGCCTTGAATCCGTGAGTTTTAAATACTTTTTCAAACTTAAAAAAATTTTAAAGTTTACATTTAGTTAGAAAATTTCATTTAATTTCCTTGAAAACACTTCATTTACATTAAATAATGTTAGTTTTAGAAATTATTAATTATATATTTTTCATCACTCTCCGTTACCTTCTACAACTTTCTATATTATATAGTTTTTTTTTTAATTCTGCGCTTTCCAAGATATACGTATACCTTCTGACTATTATTTCCGAATATTCATTTTCAACCTGGATAAGTATTTTTTCTTTTTTTCTCCTTTATTTAATTATCAACTTCTTCCAAAAGTTATATTTAACATTTTTTCGTAACTTTTAATAATGAGAGATAGTTAATAAGTTGAATTGAACTATAATAAAGGTACTTTAGAGGAAGATTGGACATTTAAGCCCTGTAAAGTGACATCAATGGGGATAAGACCTAAATGGTATTAAAGCCCACTTAATTATACAATGATACCTCGAGTTTAATCAAAATTGTTTGAGTCGTTTTTGTTTCACCGTTAATATAAAGTGGCACTTCCAGTTAGCTGATTTTAAGGAAAAAGTTGCTAGGACATCTAAGGCACATACCTATCTTAAATACGTAATATTAGTTTCATATGACTTTTTGTTTTCGAGCTGAAGTGTTCACAGACTCACAGATAATTTTTCAGAACTTGGTTATTTGGACTCAGAGTACCTCAAAACGTGTATTTCCGTTGAAAGCTCAGATTCGAAAATTTTCACGATCGCAATACTTACCCATACTATATATTACATGTATAGGTAAGTGAAAGTTAAAAATCATAAATTCCAACAATTCCATTCTCACAATTAAACAAAATGTCAAAAAAAATCTGCCTGATTTTGTTGCTAATGAAATCCTTTTTTTTTTTTTTTTCTTTTTTTTCCTACCCCCCCCAGGAATTTCTTGATTACAAAATACAATATATATATATATATATATATATATATATATATATATATATATATAAATGATGAAATCCTTCTTACAATTTATAGCACGTTTAAACCTCATGCATATACTCATTTTCATCTTATTTGAATTAGGTAACACTAGAATTTATATGACAGAATACAAAAATAATTGGATAAAAAGTAAAAAAAATAAATTCATAATTCAATCTATAATGTTTAGAACAAAATTAAAATGATTTCCTCTTTTTGACATTTTCTTCATATTCTATAATATATATATATGATTGCAATGATATCTATATTTGCATATAATATTTTCCACTACCATTAGGTACTTCCAGAAATTTCTTTTATATCGAATAAGCTGAAATGCGTGCTTCCTTTCTAGTCAAAACAAAGCAAAAGAAGTAGGGTTACATTTTACTCATAATTTTGGCACATTCTAAAGGTTTTTAAGTTCTTGATCACCTCTATAGCTCTCCAAATTGAGTTTAAACTCTTAAGAGTTTAATTACAATGTGAATAGAGGCAGTATTAAAGAAGTGCCTTTTAGGGATCTCAACTCAGCTTTTTTTGATAAATTAAATTTAAAACAAATGATAAATTTTAAATCACTTTTCATCTCTTTAATGTACATCTATTCTTTCTTAAATGAGCATACAATTAATTTGATCTTTGTCTAAACACAATGGATTCATGAAATGAATTATATTAACTTAATATTATATAAATACTTAATTGTTTGTTGATGAAGATTAGTTGCATTCATAATTAAAACCAATTTTGTTTAATAATCGAATAGTCATAATTATTATAACATATTTTTTACATCATACCTTCTCCTTCAGTCCATTATAATGTCTCTAATAAAGTGAAAGATAGATTTGAACAAGAAGATGGTTTGGGGTGCGATCAGGAAAGAAACTTAACTATAAATTTTTGTGTTTTAATTGGTACTAACACCTTGGTCTAAGTTATATGCCTTCACCAGGGCAGAGCAAAACGATATATAAGAATAAAGACAAAGAATACAGATATAATGTATTCTTGATATATTTATTCTTACATCTTGTTTTGTTTAGCCCTGGAGAAAAACTAAAAATTAAACAATTTAATTCTTGTACACTTAAAGAAAGTGTAATACACTTTCTTTCTTCGCTATATCTTTAACCATTTTCTTTCTCCTTTAATGTCTGTGGCTTGGCTATCCTTCATGGATTATATGATTCATGAACTTGTTTGCCTAATTTTTTTAAACAATTGTCTTTTTTATACGGTTCATTTGTTATTTTTTTAACCATTGACCATGATGGTTCAATAATGATGGTTTTTGAGTTCAGTACTTGGTACAAAAGTTTTTTGACTGATGGTCATACTACTATATAATCTATTTATTATTGGATGCATAATAAAACCTTGGTAATCTTAATATTCCATCTAGTTTCAACTGATATTTGGAAATACTTTTAGAGTAGAAATATTTAATTTTATATCTTGTTTGATAAAAACAGACCAAAAGATATTTGCTCATGCAATTTAATCTTCTTCTCAAACATTTATAACTTGATATCGGGTTGTTCGGAAAATAATGCAGGATTTTGAGTTTTATTTAAAATAATCCTCTATATGACAAACTGTTTACGTTTACTGGATTATTCATTTGTATGAAAATTTAATGGACAAGGGAATTAGACAATATGTGTTTGGAGTTTATCGATTCTAAAGATGGGAAATTCTATTCTGAGGGAATGGAAAAGTTGCCACTCATTGGCAGAAATATATTGATAGTACTGGAGATTATATAGATTTAATAAAACATTTGTAAATCTTTCCTTTTTCCTTTTTAAACCAAAATACTGCATCATTTTCTGGACAACCTAATTAAGTAGGTTGGAGAGGATCACCCAGCCTCACTATGGTTTCCGTCTTGTTGAAGTAGGATACTATTATAAAAGTAGATTGATGGTTGACTGTAGTGAATAATTGAAGAGTAGTTGTTTGAGATGTTCAGCCAAAAATACAAAGTAAAAATAAATAAATTATATTTATTTTTACTTTCTATTTTTGGCTGAACCTCTCTTTAACTACGATACCATTAATTTGATTACTAATCCTTAAGACATTAGTTCTTTAATTTGTTTTTCCTTGTTGGGCTAAAAAAATTTGTGGGACCTTTGTTGGACTAAAAAAAATTCGTGACACAATTATATAACAAATCAAATAAAATTCCAAATTGAAAATTTTGATCTTACAAATTAAATATTGAAATGAAATATTTCCATAGCACCCAGCTTTAAAATCCTTGTCATAGTAGGTAATTTAGATGTGGATGAGCACTGATGTTTGTTTAAACACCTTGGATCAAGATGTAATGATTTGTAATAAATCAACCAAGATCCACAGTTTTTGGCTACTGGTTTGTAATTGGTGGATTGACTAGGATCTAAAGTTCTCTACCTTTGCAAACTCTATTGATGATTAAATCATATCATTGTTCCCAATTACAATATGCATGGTATAATATTTTATTCTAGGTTAGGATAATTTGAGGTGATTTCGATATAATCACAATATCTGCTTAAATTGATAATTGTACTCAATTACATTATTTTGTAATCATTCATATGGAGTACTAGAAAAGTTTATGAGAATGATACTGTTAGTGGCATTTAGTTTTTAACTAAGTGATTAACTGACTCTTTCTTTTGGCTGTACTTATTAATTGAAGGGTTATGTGGATTTTATAAATAATTGGTTATAGAGATTCGAGACAGAATATCCATTCCTGGAACATGGAAATTTAGTCATATGCAACAAGTATGCTGTTATGAATTCAGGGGTAGATTCATTTTCCAAGACAAATGAGAAATTTATTTATCTGTTAGATTCTCAGAATTATTAACTTCAATATTTAAAATAATAATATGTAAAAATAAAATAATTACCTCTCTGATTACATCATCAAGCCCTTCCTTCAATGGAGCATCGATTCTCCTTCTCGGATTAGCATTAAAAGCAGAATATAATGATCGCTGAATGAAGTCCCAGGGAATCAGATCTTTGTCATTTTTTGGTATGAATTTCGTGAGTCCTGGCGGTTGTCCTAGAATTAATTTTAACATAAGAATATAGCCAATTAACTTATAATTAATATGATTTGTAATATATATGCTTTAACATAAAAATAAAAATGTTTATTATCACTCCTGAAATTTTGATTCGCAAACATTAGCTGAGTGAGTACATGAGAAATAAATTGCAACTTGATGAGAGAAAAAAAGTTGTTTTCTAACCCATTGAAGGATAAATGCTCTAGGAGGGTTTTCTGCTAGTGGTGGCCCTAAGAGGTAAACATTTTGGGGGCTCACAAAAAAAAAATAATAAAAAAATTAAAACTTAACAGATACTTAAAATAAATGAGCAATACTCTGCTCTCAAAAAATGCTCCACTGCAATTATTTTTTCCTGTTCACCACTTCTTACAGAAAAAATAACCAATTTTATTTTTATACCTTAGGCATAATTTAAGCTCTCAAAATATTTCAAACTTACAGTTCAATAAACTTACTCTTAAACAGAGCATAATTACACTTGTAACAAATAATTAATTAATACTTAAAAGATTTTTTCTTCATTTATATGACAGCATCTGCAGCCTAATGGGTCTCGTCTGTTGCATTGACATTATTAATGTGTTTCAGAGATCTTTAACACTATCTGTAGCAATTAACAGGAAAGTAACCTACTAATAAGAGATGCTTTGTCATGAATTTAGTATTTTTTTTTTTTATCATTAACAGTTAATATGGTTAAGGGACTATTAGATCAAAATAAACATTAATATTTAATTTTGTTTTTAATCTCTTATGTAGTTATTATTTATTAGTTTTTCCTACTGTCGTGTGAAATGTTTTACACCAAAGCATGATCGATTATTTTGTATGTACATATTGTAAATTGTAAATGTCATTAAATAAACTTATTATTATTATATTATAATAATTTTAAACATATGTATATGTGGGTATTTCTATTCATCATCTGAAATTAAAAACCCACAATGTATAACACACTTCCTCAACACCGCCTATTTTAAAATACCAAAGTAACATACTTCCAATGAGATTTGGGCAATACAACTTGTCCTTATGTTCTTTTTTTATGAACCTTAGGTTTCAAAATATGTATATAAATTTTATTCTTATCATTTACTAGCGGATCCAGGATTTAATTTTGGGGGGGCTTCAGCCCGAAACCTTTTTTTTTTCATAAAAATAATGGTAATTACTTTGTAAAAACAAAAAGAAACTAACTACCTATATGAAATGGTGTTTAAGTGATTCCTTTTAAATGTAATTACACGAACAATAATACTTTAAGAGGTATTTGTAAAATTTTTTTTCCTATAAAACATGGTTATATTTTACCATTTTGGAGAGGGCTTCAGCCCGAACCCCCTCCCCCTCCTCCCGTAGATCTACCCGTGTTATCATTCAAGAGTGAGTGATTTTTTGTTTATTTCAATAATAAAAATTTTTAAAACTAATAAGACTAAGTATTTTTTGAGAAAATAAGAAAAAATGCTTGAAATATGTTTAATGAATTCACAAAGCAGATAATTTAGACAAGTTGTAAATGGTTGTCCATTTATAGTGTTTTTATATTTTGCTAACTATATTATCTTTATTTAAATTTATAAAATTAACTATTATTATTTAAATTTATACTATTAATAATAGTATAATCAATTAATAATAATATTAATATTTATAATCTATTATTATTTAAATTTATAAATAAACTTAATTTATGAAAACAAAAATAATTATCCATCTAATGTTAACTAGTTTTTCTAAAAACTTACCAAATTGAACAGAGTCGTCAAAGGCGTCCATTTTATTTTCTATATCAAGTATCTGTGACATGCTGAGGATGTCCCGATGCAGAGAAAGCATATCTTGCTGTAGCTCTTGAACTTTCAACATCTGAAAGAAAATTATTCCAATAATAGTATTGTAAAATTTAATTTACAGGATTTGAGGTGCTCAACCAAATGTTACAAAGTGCATTATTGTACAAGAGAAGTCATTTAATAATTTTGTTTAGTTACTAAACTGAACCTTGGTTAGTTTGGCCCAAATATATTTCTGGTTTTAATCCCATTTTTTTATTATTCTTAACATTCTAGTTACTTAATATTTAATACTTTAAACATTTTATTTATTATTAATTAAAAACCATTAATTTAGTCATTTATGAAAGTAAGAGCATGATGCCTCATTTTCTGGTCCTACACAAGCTATTTGCACCTTTCCGTCAAAAGCTGTTTATTCATGTATAAGAATCCACTGAATTTTATCGTTTCACAGTAAATAACTTTATGAATAATACTATTTAGTTAGATGAAATGTGTATTATATTATATGATTTAAATGAAATTTGTTGCTTATTAACTTCATTTAAGATTGCATGGTTGGAATTGGATTTGCAGCAGTATTAAACTTATAAAAATTAAATCATACTTTAATATAAAATATTTATATCTACCGTCTTAGGTTTTTTTTTTTTTATTCAGGATATATTTCCTTTGTTCTTTGGAGTCCGTTCACCTGCCCACAAGACAGCGGGGATCTGTCTCTTTTGCCCTCTTGGCCGTTGGAATACGTGCTTCTCTTCTCCCCTTGATACAATTACTCGATTTTCACCTGTAATCCTAGGCAGGAGCCCTCAATGGGAAAAGGAAGAGGGGGAGTCTTATTTCTATTGATTAATAGAAAATTTTATTCATGTATAAGAATCCACTGAATTTTATGGTTTCACAGTAAATAACTTTATGAATAATACTATTTAGTTAGATGAAATGTGTATTATATTAGTTAGATGAAATTTGATGCTTATTTACTTCATTGAAGATTGCATTGTTGGCATTGAACTTGAAGCAGTATTGAACTTACAGAAATTAAATCATACTTTAATATAAAATATTTATATCCTGATTATTTAACAGTTTTTATTATTTAATGATGGACAAAGCCTATTGAGTAGGTCATCTCCGTAATATAAGTTGACCTAATGTATTGTCAATTTGTGGAACTTACTCCATTATTTTTAAGTAATGGTCGATAGACTGGATTACATTTATTTTGCTGTTGAAACACATTTGTTCAATTATAAAAATTAAATATGATAAATTAGTTCAGAGATTTGATATTTTTTAAATATTTAATATCTACTTTGATATCCAAACATGCATTACTGACAGAATAACTACTGAGTAATGCAGAATATTTCAGTTGCTATCAGTTCTTACTTGATAATTTTTTTTTTTTTTTAATATTGTTTCATATGTATGTCCGGGTATTTTACCAGTTTACCATTATAATAATTTTCAAATATAATATTTTTTAAATTGTTCATACTTGCATGTAATTGTGAATACGATAGAGATGCTTATGTTGTTTGACCGGGTGGAGTGTTATGGCACGGTGAACTTCTTTTTGTTTTAAATTACCAGTAAATGCTTCTTTTCCGCTAGAGTTATGATACAAAATAGTCTGCATCTAGAAACAGAAAAAAAAGATATGGTTTTATTACTCATTTAACATTTATGATATCTATAAACTATATTCAAAGTTTTGCTCATATCAAATTGATCATAGATGCTAGCAAATGTATCTTATCGTTGCATAATTTTATGCTTGAAAGTTAAACTAAAACTAACCAAGTTAAACTAAGTTTAGTGGCTTAAAAGTAGTTGTTAAATATATTTGGTCTCCCTGTTGTCTCTATCTCCTTATGTAAAATCAACGAGGTCATTTTAATTCTATCTTATTGCTGACTTGTTATTGTTATTGACTGCTTCCTTGGACTTCCCTCAAGATGATTGGAAAATTACTAAATACGTGATGATAATATTAGTTAGCCTGTTAAATACAAATTTACATTATTTTTTTTAACTTTCATAAAAATAAATTAGGAAATAAGATGTCAATTGTTAATGTTATTATGAATTAATTTAAATTAACTGAAAACATCCCCTTTTCGAGAATTAATCTACTCAACACCTGTTAAACAAGATTAAAAAATATAATATTTAAAAACTGTTGCAGATTAAAATAGTTAACTTTTTCTAACAATATTATCCTAAGTACAAAGATGGATAGCCACAACTTAAAAAAAGTTCTCTGAATTTATAAAATTAATGTCGCAAATATAATTTTATGAAAATCCACTAATATAGATAAATATATTAAAGTGTGCATTTTCTGCATAGTAAAACTTTTAAAAGTATATTTTACATAAATAATTTTGAATTTTCCATTCAAATTGAAGCATCAATATTCTAAATTTGAAGAAAAATAGACACTCAGCATTCAGACTGGTATATGCACATGTGGATCCACGGGAGGAGAAAAGGAGGGGAAGACTTTTTGACTGAAGCCCTCCCAAAATGGACCTTTTGAACTTCATTAGAAGAACAAAAAGGTTTGAGACAGAGTAGAGGTACAATAGAGTTGGCAAAAAGGATCAATAGGCCCACTTGCTGGACTAAGTCACCACACTATTACCAGTACCAGTACCTCCCGAAATGGAAAAATATCTTTTTCAATAGTCTATATTTGTTTCTGTGCGTGATAGGTGTTCAATACTTAAACAATCAGAGCACGTACTCTTTTTAAATTACCAGGTATATATTTCAGCTAATAAATGTGAGCACCATGTATAAAAAAACGCTGCAAAATATTACACAATGATTTATTATTTTCAAACAATTTAACATCAAAATTAAGATTACTTTTAATGTAACATTAAGAAAAATAAATAAAAAGGGATTCCTAACATTGGCCTGTATAATTTTTTTTTTTTGTTATAAATAATTTGCTTAAAAAATAGACAACATTGCTGCAGTTGATGTAAAACTTCCAAAAAATCTAAAACCAAAACTAAAGATATTAGCACTGCAGCAGAACATATATAACATATTTAGAACACTATATCTTTGCTCCAAATTGTCCGATTTCAACAATTTTTTTTTTTAGTAAAATTTGGAAACTTTAAAATAACCATACAGTCTATGCCAACACGGTTTTTTCGGCCGCCATCTTGGAAGGAAAGGGCGGATAGTAATGTCAAAGTAGGAGGATCATCTTCGGGTGTCTTCCGACTTTTATTTCAAATTTGAAAAAAAAATCGGTCCTGTAGTCTCGGAGAAAATCTGCGGACGGCGGACGGGCAAAAACATTTTTATTCGATTTTCGAACGAGAAACGTAAAACCTCAAATTTTGAGGGGAATTTAAATTTTTTATTTTTTTGGACGATTACAATGGTTCATTATAGTAAATAATAAACCAAAAATGTGTTCCTAAAAGCATTATTATTACTGTAAATATATTTTTTTTACTAACCTTTAAGGACCACTTAAACATATATATTAAAAAAAACCCAAGCCCCCAAAATTAATTCTTAAATCTGCTATTGGGTATAAGTATAGTGTTAAATAGATAACTGGATTTAATACTTATACTATTACATTTATATTATACATATGCATAATATATAACATATTAATATAAAATAGAACAACATACATATATTTTATATAGTGTATTTATTGGTACGCTACCTATATTATCCAACTTTTTTTTTTTTATTTGGTATGGTTTGCATGATTGCCCATCCCCCAACGTCAATGGTGCAAGAACCAACCTGCCCCCTCCCTTCTCTCAAGATATTTTATTGCTCACCCTTTCTTAAAAACAGAAGAAGTTAAGGTAGAATTAGAAAAATCTTAGATCATATACAATTATACTTGCCTGCGATCTGTTCTATTTCCCCCTTGTCTCTTAGTCCGAAAATACATTACCTCGTCGAAATTTGCCCTCCTCGAAAATTCAAAAACCTTTCAAAATATTTCCCCCTCAAAAATTTCGATGGCGCAACTTGCGCCATGAAATCTCCTTCTGAGCACCGCTGACGGTTTGAAGGTATAGAGGAAAAAAAAATCAAAGGAAGTTTGTTAGGTATTGGATGCCTGGGGCTGTCAGATGTTAATTGTGAACACGTTTCAAAACGCTTCTGATCCTAACGTACCTAACAAAAAAAAGGGTCTATTTTTTTCTCTTTATTTTTTGTATCTTTGAACGAGAGATGTGAAGTCAAACAAATTCAACGCACTGCTAATATCGAACCGACTATCGCTGGTATCCAGTAGCAGATTGAGTATCTACTTTTTTTTGAAGGGGGAGAGGGTAAAGGTGATGGATGCTTGTTTTTTATAATGTTAATTACTCTGGAAGAAAAATAAAGAAAGTATGTGCAATTGCGTTAAAGTGGTTGTTAAAGGAGGGAAAAAAACATAATTTTAAGGACAGTTTTTTAATATATTTTTATTGACTCTTTAATACGTTAAAGTTAAAAATAATACGTATATTAAGTGCTTAAATACTTAACGCAGATCACTCTCAGAAAAGAATATGAACCCAAGAACAAAAAGAAAATCTATAAACTAAAGGAAAATCATTTTTGTCATTTATGAAAGTAAGAGCTAGTGTTGCCCAAAATCGGTCTTGGTCTTGCACTTAGCAAGACCAAGACCAAAGGCCGCCGAACTTTTGCAAGACCAAGACCAGGATAAAACAAATCTATTTTTTAAATAAAAATTTAGGCAAAATAGTTACTAATACTCGACAATCTTAGTTACTATATGTTAATAATTGGTATTACCAATACGCTTTTGCATTGAATTCCTCTAATTTTTCCTTCGGACTTAGTTAGGTTTTTCCTATCAAAAAAATTACATTAACATCTCTATAGTAATAAGTAACTGCAAGACTGTTGCGAGACTTGCGTCTCGGTCTCGCATTTGGGCTACACTACCAGTGGCTGACAGGCCTGTACTCATATTAATTCAAAATGATGTACTCAATATAACGGGTCTTTAAAATGGTACCATTCACTATTCGCTCGTTAAAAAAAATTCCTAGTGATTTGGATTAAATATAAAGCAAAAGTAGGTTTTCTTATTGCCAAAAACAGGCTCTTAACACTGACCAGTATTTATCGATAAATTCGGTAAACGAAATGAAGTTAGTTTTATGATAAGTTTTTTTTTTTTTTTTTTTTTTAAATGATAAGTTAAAGATAATTTTTATCTATATCTATTAAAAAATGAAGAATATAAAATGTTAACAGTTACCATAATTACGTCCTTGTTCTCATTCCTGTCAGCTATAGGTGCAACAAAACCATTCTCTAAATTTACAATTTTTTACTTTCACTTACCTACATATGAAATATATAGTAAAGGAAATTACTGCGATCGTGAAAATTTTCGAATCTCAGTTTTGAACAAATGTACACGTTTTGAAGTCCTCTGAGTCCAAATAACACAGTCCCGCAAAATTTTGTGTGTGAGTGTGTGTGTGTCTAGCTCAAAAACGAAAAGTCGTACGAAAGTGAAATAGCATATTTAAGGTTTTTATATGCTAAGGATGTTACAGCAACTTTTTCGTCAAAATCGGCTAACCGGAAGTGGCAGTTCATATAATGCACTAAACACATTTTTACGATTATCTCGAAAACCACTCTAACAATTTTTATTAAATTCATCGTATCAGTATAAAATTAAGCAGTTTTAAATAAAATGTTGTTATTATTCTAATCGGCGTTCTCTCACAGGGTTTAAATAGCTAATTTTCAATGTTAGCTTCCTCTAAAGTACCTTTAATTTTTTTTTTATTTGAAACAATCGACCCTTTCAAATTAATTTCTAATGTGAAAAAGGGTTAACTATAAAATATGAAAGAATTCGATAAATAACTAAAGGAGAAATATGAGATCGTAACGGAGAATAGTTGTAATTGAGGAACGAAAGGAATACGAGCGCACTCAATGCTATTGTTGGTATTATTTAATATTTAATTGTATAGATTACAGCGATATAAATTTTAAAATTTGTATATGTGAGGGTACTTATAAAAATAAAAATACCCAAAATAAAATATAAATAAATATAGAGTCTATAATTTTTACTTTCACTTCGCTTTGTCTGAAAATATTTTTTTCTGCTAAGAAGAGGGTGGTAAGTGAAAGTTGTGTGAAGCTACTAGATTGTATAATATGATACAAGTAATCAAAAATAATTAGTTCCCACTCATGAAAATCAACCTTTAACTAGATTAGTTATTATTACTGTCGGATGGAATTCTATGGTATAATTTGTCATTTTTGTATGTAGAATTATCTACGAACTTATTTATTCTAAACAGGAAGAAAAGAGTATATTTACCTCGTAAGCTGATGTTAAATAAAAAAGTGGTACGTACACGAAAGCCATAGTAAAGCTCACTAGTATTTCGGGGATGACAAAGTTATGTGATGCGCGCACCACACAAGATTTTTTAAAAAAAAATTTAGATGTATGTTTCATGAATTTGAAATATTTCTTGATAAGGTGAGAAATAGTTCTATAAGGTGAATTCAAGTATAATATGATGGCACGTAAAAGTTCAAAGAAATGTTGTTAAGCATTTCGTCTACTGTGCATGTACCCTAATATTG